AAACTTCGTCTTTCAGAAGAACTGGTATAAACCAACATTTGTGTTTGTAGCTTAGCTTGCTGACGGATAAAACAATTACCTGGTTACAAGGTGAAAACTTCAAATGTTGGTGCTCTTTGAATTAGGGCTGCAACTAACCGTTATTTTAACAATAGGTTAATCTGTCGATTATTACCCCCCCATTAATCGATGACTCGGCCAAAAAACAAATGTTTTCATTTCTACCTCTATTCCAAAATTGAACATTTGACTGACAGCAAATCGTACAGAAAACAGGTTGCTACTTGACTACTCTGTTAGTGAAATATTGAATAATAAATAATAAAAAATAAAAAAAAGTTTGTCAAATAGCGTTAATAAAAAATAAATGTACACAAAAACAGTTTTCCCTCATTATCGCAGGGGATCCATACCCTGAAGATCCGCGATAAGTGAAAATCCACGAAGTAGTGATAGTAGTACAAGTAGTATAATTTATATAGATGTATATTAAGGCATTTTAAACTCTTCCCACACTCTTGCATTATTCTAAACAATGTTTCTAAACTCTAAATGCCCTAAAAGTGCACAGAATGTCATCATTTCAGCTCCCTTCCTCCTCTGCTCTTTGCCACCTGCAAGCATTCTTGGCCACGCCCACTTCTCCATTCTGCACTTGAACATCTGATCAGCTGTTAAGCTGCAGCAGGAAGTTTATCCTGCAGCAGTAAGGGCTGCAGGAAGGTGCAGGAAGTGCTAAGTAATTTTAAATGTATTTTAAATAAAAATTACATGCCGATCATGTGGCTCATCCATCAATCAGCCAATTGTGTGTCATGTCTAATCTTATTTTGAAAAACCGCGATAAAGCGAATCTGCTATAAATGAACCACGAAATAGCGAGGGACTACTGTATACAAATGTATCTTTATACCTGCACAATATGTAGCTACTTTGTAAAATGTGTCCTTGAGGGAAGAGTGTAACCTGGATTAAAAGTGGATCATTGTAGTGAAGCCTTCATCTTGAACCATCAACAGTGGCTTCATGTCAGTGACGATCATTTAAGGATGCTTTCAGTCAAGACATCTGCTTGCTGTGGTGTGCATGATGTCTTTCCCATCATGGGTTGTCATTGTTTGTTGTTGTTTTCTGGAATGAGAATGACGGGATCTATTATAGCATAATTTACAACAACTCAAGAAATGCCTTGTTTCACTTACAGTGTTAGGTTAAGGCAAGTAACCTAAGTAGCCCAAAGAGCAATTACACACACACACATAAAAACTAATTGCACACATTTGAGTAAATTACTTTAATTCCTGTTTAAATGCAATTCATCCTGCCATACAATGCAATGTCTTCACTCAGACTTTGCCGACAAATTAAAACTTGAAGCGTAATCACTAAATTATTACCATCTTTGTGTTAGATTTATTTACAAATCACTTTCAAACACTGTACCAATTAAATTAAAATAAAAAGTAACACACATGGTCTCTATCACCGTCATTAATCAGCTAACAAACAGCAACTTCAGGCCAGCTACTGGAGAGACTGACGTTATGTTTTCTCACTTGGAAACAGAACAAATGTAGGATATTGTAGAGACTTACTGCTGCTGAGCTCCTTCATCCTCATCGATGACTCCAACATGTTTATGTTTCATCATCGTGGTTCTCTCGTGCCGTGTCGTCACTTTTGCAAAGCTTGCATGTTACGCAGTTTTTATCTTTGTGAAGCGTCAAGTAGGGGTGTAACAGTACACGTGGGTGTTTTGAACCGTTTCGGTACGGCATGTTCAGTTCGGTCCACGTGCGTAACGTTTCTGTTATTTTTTCACTCATTAAATTTTATTAACAAGAGATTATGCACCGTGGAACTAAAGTTCCTAAGCGTGTTTCAGCACGGCGCTATAGTCTTGCAGCGTGCGTAGCATTAGCATTCTAGCATGTCGTTGTGGTCTCCTGTTTGGGAACATTATGGCTTTCTTGTTAAAAGACAAGTGCAAATTCAAAGCTGTTTGTCGGCGTTGTTTCTTTTTTTTTTTCCTTGTCCTGTCCGGCATTGTGACACTTAGAATTATTGTCTGAGTGTCAAAGTGATGCCCAACAGATTTACTTTCACAAGCAGAGCATTATGGCTGTTCTTAATGCTCCACTTGATATGAAAATTAAATTTTATTATAATTTGCTATGGACTTGTTTCAGATGTATTGGACATGGGGATGAAAAACAAATAAGATGACAAAGCAGAAAAGTGAGAGAAGGGTTAAAAGGTAAAGAAGGAGATAGGAATAGAGGAGAGAGAGAAGTATAAAGAGAACACAAATCAACATCATTGAAGTCTGCCTCTAGACCTGCGGGAAAAAAAAGACCAGACAAAACCGAGAAACCACAACAACAAACATATATAATGATACTTGTAACATCATTAGAAAGTGTTTTATACAGTACATGGTAATACAAGATGTATTTGATGGACACCACAACCCAACTGAGTGTGTATCTAATAAACACCTGAATCTAAAATTGATCCAAGAGAGGGGACCACCCAAAACCCAACCTGAGACATAAACAGGCACACAGAGACTGCCCGACGGACCCTCCGTCGGGCCATCCATGTGCCCCACCAACCCGACAGCGACCCGCAAGCCGGCCCCAGGCCGGGGGCCAGAGCAGCAGGGAACAACAGCCAAGGACGCGCTTGAAACAACATCATCTGAACGTGAACGTCTCTTCTACAGAATAGCAGCTTGGTTGGTGCAAAAACTGATAACAGCAGCATTTAAACAACTTTTATCAGGTAATTCAGATCGGTCCAAAGCAATAACACAAGCTGTAGGAGTTTTTAAAGCTCTGGATCTACGTCCGAATTCTGTTGGTGATGCATCGGCTTTAAAGTCATTGAGCCCCGCTACGACCTCCCGTCACGTCAACACTTCAGCCAAAAAGTTGTAGCAGCACTTTAAGACAAAGCTAAAACTAATATTGTCAACAAGCCCGACCCCAGATTTAAAGCCCTGCCCTCATGATGATGATGATGATGATGACCGAGAGATTCAACCACCTCATAACAAATGATGGCCGTTCAAGAAAAGGTATTGCTTATTGTATTATTATGATCTAATTATTATTTTTTTAATTATAATCTCATTAACTCCTTTTTTACCTCTCTGTGTTTTATTTCCAGTCTGGGACAGAGAGAGCAGCTGAGTCTTCTTCCTCTTCAGGGAAGTCCACCAGAGATCACCTCCAGCTAAGAAGTCTGTGATGACTGAACTCTGAACTTTTCCAGGGATCTGTCCCACCTGTGGGAGCAGGTCCAAGAGTTTGAGTAATGAGGCCAAATACAGCCACACTGCAAAATTAGCAAAGTGCTACCTCTTCATTCCTGCCAGCTGTTGTTAGTGAGTGGTTTTTTCCACCGCTGGAGATATTCACTGCAACTAGATCTGTGCTTTTGGCAGAAAATGTGGACAAGTTGGTCTTTTTGGCCAAAAACTTGATTAGTTTGATTGTAAATGATCTGTTACTGCTTATTGTTCTGGTTCTGACTGTTACTGTATTTATTAAGATGTCTGGTATCTAATGAGTGAATGAATCGACTGAAATTGGCCTGTGGCTTAGACCAAGTTTTTAATTTTGGCCCTACAGATTTTTAACAGACTTTGTAGCAGACTGCTCTAATGTTTCCACTGATAGTTTTCATATCATTGCCAGTTTCCCAGCACAGCTGGTAAGTGTTGCCATGGACTAAATCCTGTAAAAACAAGTTTACACCAGTTATGATGTTGACATTTCCAGTGTCACTTCAGTATTGATACATCTAATCTTTTGCATGGAAAAATCTAATCTAATTTGTATAGAACATTTCATAAAAATGTCTGTTCGGCAAAGTGCTGCACACAAAGCAACAAATTATGACACCACCAGATTTTTTAAAGAGATTTTAGAAATGGCTCTAGGCTGTCTACATCTGTAGGAGAAGCACTGCGGTTAATATTTATTATCAAGTAATGACCTTCATGTCCATGAGTGTGTTTGTGCTGCTGTTCGGCATATTGTTTTTGTACTACTAGTACTTAGTGTATTTTTAGTTAATATTTTTCTTAGTTCATAGCTTACATCTTATTAGTTTTTCTTTTACATTTTATACTTTTGTTGGATGTAACTGGGAACATGTGTACACAATTTTGTTCCACCTCATGTACCACTTGTTGTGTAAATGACAAAGAACCTTGAATCTTTGAATCCTTAAACATCTTATCAGAGCTGTGAGTGTGCTGTCAAATGCAGACAATGATAGAGCAGCATGTGGAGCAGAAACAATGTGTTGCTGAAGAAACATTAAATCTGGGCAGAGTCCAGAGTTATAGTTTGTATCACTGTTCTGAAAAATAATTGAGTCTTTTCTTGTCAGCATCAAATGATTATTATAAATATAAATTTAATTTTATGTACCTTTAAAGTTGGCAAATCATGGTGTGAACTTGGTATTTGGTGTTGTTTTGTTCATTCTTTAACCAAAATGAGCAACAGTCAAAAACTGTCCCGTTTTGTTTGTTTTAGTTTGGTTCTCTTGAGTATTTAGCTTAAATTTCAACCCAAAACTATTAAAGAATAACAAGATATAGATGGGGACACAGGCTTGAATAGATGGACTTCTGTTGCAGCACTTGCTGTTCCAGCGCATCCTGGGATTTGTAGTTTTAGTTGTTTGCATGCTGTACACCTGCTGGTGGTTATTTAAAATGAAATATGGCTGGTCTTTACCTTGACATGTCTGCTCTATTTGTTTTACCATCTTCTGAAAGCCAGTCAGGATGTCTGTCTCACTGAATTTGTTTCAGGAGGTTTTTCTAATGTCCAGCATTGTTGTTTTGAGTTGATCAGTGAACTGAGTGACTGTGTGAATATAAAGTTACATCTGTCCTTAATGTTTGTGTTTCAGTGTTCCCTGCTGATGTTCAGCAGATGATGTTGATTGTAGCAGAAGCTTCTGAAGAATGGAGGTCTGATATGGACCAGAAGAACCCAGAGCTTCTCCATATGGAGCATCATCAGCATCAAGTGGAAGATGATGATCTTGCAACCAGCAGCTCAGCTTATCTGATGAATGCAGCAACTGGTGGAGAGGACTGTGGAGGAGCAGAAACTACCAGGAACCCATATCTAAATACAAATGGAGATGATTCCTTTACATCAGAGACTGAAGTCAGTGAGGATGATGATGAAGATGTGAATGATCCTGATTTTCAGACTAAAAACTCATCAGACTCTGGACCAGAACCTGAAGACCATGACAAAGACTGGAAGGAGAGCCTGGCTCCTGAGTCAGGTGTAAACACTGTCAACAAATCTTACAGCTTCTCTGAGTGTGAGAAACAATTTCTCCACAAGGAGTCTGTCCAGAGAAACAAGACAGGTCATTCAAGAATCAAGTCCTCAAGTTGTTTGAGTAGTAAGAAATGTTTTAGAGGGAAGAAAACTGGAAGCTTGAACAAAAAAATCCAGTCAAGACAAGAATCTTTTATTTGTGACGACTGTGGAAAAAGATTTAACAGAAAACATCATTTAAAAACACACATGAGAACCCACACAGGAGATAAACCATTTGCTTGTGAAGTTTGTGGACAAAGGTTTGGACTAAAGTCAACTTTAAACAGGCACATGATAATCCACACAAGACAGAAACCGTTTGTTTGTGATGTTTGTGGTCAAAAGTTTAATGAAAAGTCAAATTTAAACAAACACAAGAGAATCCACACAGGACATAAACCATTTGCCTGTGATCTTTGTGGACACAAGTTTAGCGCAAAGTCAAATTTAAACAGACACATGATGATCCACACAGGACAGAAACCATTTTTTTGTGATGTTTGTGGTCAAAAGTTTAAAGAAAAGTTTTATTTAAGCACACACTTGAGAATCCACACAGGACAGAAACCATATTCCTGTGATCTCTGTGGACACAAGTGTAGAGCAAAGTCAAAGTTAAATGAACACATGAGAATCCACACAGGCCAGAAACCATTTGCTTGTGATGTTTGTGGACAAAAGTTTGGACTAAAGTCAACTTTAAACAAACATATGATAGTCCACACAGGACAGAAACCATTTGTCTGTGATGTTTGTGGACAAAGGTTTGGACTAAAGTCAACTTTAAACAAACACCTGAAAATCCACACAGGACAGAAACCATATGCTTGTGGTGTTTGTGGACAAAGGTTTGGAGTAAAGTCAACTTTAAACAGACACATGAGAATCCACACCGAACACAAACCATTTGCTTGTGACGTTTGTGGACAAAAGTTTAGACAGAAGTCAAATTTAAACAAACACATGAGAATCCACACAGAACAGAAACCATTTGCTTGTGATTTTTGTGGACAAACGTTCAGACGAGCGTCACATTTAAAAGTACACAGGAAAACCCACACAGGAAGAAAAACCTTTAGCTGTAAATATTCTGACAGCTCCTAAAGGCACTTGGGTGTTCTCATCCATTTTAAACTGTTTCTTGTTAAATAGTGCGTCTGGACAATTGTTTTCCATATTTGAAGTTTTTACTTGCAGTAATGTGTACTTGCATGCTCTACTGTAATTTTTGCTGTATTTGTTGCAGTTTTTTTTTTTTTTTTGCATAAATTAGCATGCCCGCAATTTGTACTGCAAAGTGACGTATTGGTATTTTTTTCCATATGTATAACCCAATTTTTGGCTGAGATCTGACGATTTAATTCATTCTGACATGGAAAATATTGAACACTATCATTTTCACCCACTAGAGGGACATCAACCTATTTGTCAAGCCAAGTGTCTCATTAATAGATAAAAGTGGCTATTCATGATACATTTGGCTTGCCATACTAAGCCACCTTCATCTCACTCCGGAACTCCTGGAGCAAACGTCAAATCAGCTGCATTTCACTTCACCACCCAGGTGAAATGCAGCTGATTTGACCATTAAAGTGCATTTATTAAGGAAAAATTCAACTGAGACACACTTTTACTATAATGTCGAGCAAACAAATATTTGGTTTTAGGTGGTTATCTTGTTAAATTTTGAAGAAATGCACAGCGGGTCCTCCCTCTGCGCTCCTGCAGCCGAAAATCGATTTTTGAAATGCAGCTGATTTCAAGCATTCAAGGATTCAAGGTTCTTTATTATCATTCACATCACATGTAGTACATGAAGTGGAACGAAACTATGTGCACATGGTCCCAGTTACATCCAACAAAAATACAAATTGTAAAGAAAAACAGTAGTAAGATCCAAGACATGAACTAAGAAATGTGCTAAACTAAGAAAACACTAAGCACTAATGGTACAAAATAATGCGCCAAACAACAACATCAGCATGAGCATGAGTCTGCGCGAGCAAATGAGTATGAATGAACACAGCAACATGAAGCAAATCAGCAGCATGAGATCAGCCCCCTCGGTTTGCCTCATTGGGGCCAGAGCCCTATAAAGAGACTGCACGCCCCACTTTTCAGTTTTTTATTTGTTCAAAAAGTTTGACACATCCAATAAATTTCATTCCACTTTATGATTGTGTCCCACTTGTTGTTGATTCTTCACAAAAAATTAAAATTTTATATCTTTATGTTTGAAGTCTGAAATGTGCCAAAAGGTTGAAAAGTTCAAGGGGGCCGAATACTTTCGCAAGGCACTGTAATTATTGCAGGAAGAAAACAATTGTACAAAATGTGACATATGTGCCAAGGAGTCTCATGCAAAAAAATAATAAATAATGCAACAGAATCCCAAGAATCCCAATCCACAATCCCAAATTGAGAGCAAGCCCATATTGTCGTTTTTGATTTTTAATTAGTCAGAGGTTTAATTGTAAGCAAATGTTGTTTAAACTCAATCAAAAAAACAGAAATCTGGTTTTCTTTCTAGGAGGATAAACCAACACATGAGAATTCACACAGGACAGAAACCATTTGCTTGTGATGTTTGTGGACAAAGGTTTGGACAAAAGTCACAATTAAACATACACATGAGAATCCACAATGGACATAAACCATTTGCTTGTGATGTTTGTGGACAAATGTTCAGACTAAAGTCTGATTTAAACAGACACATGAGAATCCACACAGGACAGAAACCATTTGTTTGTGATGTTTGTGGACAAACGTTTGGACTAAAGTCAAATTTAACAAAACACATGAGAATCCACACAGGACAGAAACCATTTGCTTGTGATGTTTGTGGACAAATGTATAGAGACCGGTCTAATTTAAATGAACACATGAGAATCCACACAGGACAGAAACCATTTGATTGTGATGTTTGTGGACAAAAGTTTAGTCATTTGTCAAATTTAAAAGTACACATGAGAATCCACACAGGACAGAAACCTTTTGCTTGTGATGTTTGTGGGCAAAAGTCTAGACATTTGTCACATTTAAAAGTACACAGGAAAATCCATACAGGAAGAAAAAACAGTTTAGCTGTAAATATTCTGACAGATCCTAAAGACACATAGGTGTTCTTACCCATTTTAAACTGCCCAACTTCACTGTTGGTTGTAATAGTACGTGTGATGTGGAAAATTGTTTTCTATATTTGAAGTTTTTAATTGCAGTAATACATGTGTACTTGCATGCTCTACTTATGATTGCATGGTGTTTTTTCCTAGGTCCTCATGTTTTATCCAACTGACTACAAAATACACAAGACCAAGAAGACACTAAGCACTAACGGTACAAAAACAATGCGCCAAAACAGCAGCACGTACATGAGTCTGTGTGAGCAGACGAGGACCAATGAACACAGCAATACAAAACAATCAGCAGCATGAGAAAGAAGTCTAGGACCCAGTTGCGTAGAGAGGAACTTAGTCCTAGTGTGATTAGTATGTCCATCAGGGTTTGGGGGATCATGGTGTTGAAGGCAGATGTGAAGTCCACAAAGAGCATACGAACGTAGGAGTCCTGCTCCAAGTGGGTGAGAGCAGTGTGGACCACAGATGAGATAGCATCTTCTGTTGATCGATTCTCGCGATATGCGTACTGGTCAGGGTCCATGTTGATGTTGATGTTAACTTTGATGTGGGTCATGACCAGTTTTTCAAAGTATTTAGAGTAGAGCTCTGTAGAGCTCTTTGGAACTGGGATAATGGTGGCAGTCTTGAGGCAGGTGGGAACTGTTGCCAGGGTGAGGGAAGAGTTAAATGTGTTGGCCAGCAACTCACAGAGTTGATCGGCACAGTCTTTCAGCACTTTCCCGGGGATGTTGTCCGGGCCAGTTGCCTTGTGAGAATTGATCCTTCTGAAAGAACTCCTTACTTCTGCTGAGGTCACGCTGAGGAACTCTTCTTCTTGTAACAAGGTGAGTCTGGTGCTGGGTGGTCTGTTCGGGTCCTCAAAGCGTGCATAGAATCTGTTGAGAGCATCAGGCAGTGATGGATCCCTAGGGCATTGTGCACCTCTGCCTTTATAATCTGTTATGCACTTAATGCCCATGTAAACAAGATTTTTCATTTAAATTTTTTCTCCAGGTTGAATAAAAATTATAATTGAACTTTATGAAGTGGGTCCCATTTTGTGGTCAATTTATTCAAATGTTATCCAGTTTGTGGACAGAGTACTCTTGATATAGAAATTCCTTTTCTTCCATTTTTACTGAAAAGCTTGTAATGCAGGGGTGCACACACTTTTTCAGCATGTGAGCTACATTAAAAATGACCAAGTCCAAGTGATCTACCTACTATAAAAATCAAAACATATACTTATTTATAAACATATTAAGTATGCTTTTTATGTTTTATGTTCTTGTTTTTAGTATTTTACCATGTTTTTATATGGCACCTTGATTTATTGTTTTATAACACTACTTTTAATTGCATTTTACTGTAGTTTATTGTTGTCTGTACTCTATATGTTGTCTGTCTAAAACAGGTCTCTCTTGTAAATGAGTCCTCGCGACTCAATGAGATTAACCCGGATAAATAAAGATTGAATGAATGAATAAGTCCCAGCTCAACATAAATTACAAAACCCATAAGTTTGTTTAAAAAAAAAGTGACAATATATTTTTACTATCCAAAATATTAAACAAAACACAGCAAGTGGATCATTAGAAAGCTGGACTGGAAAGTGAAGTGAAGAGCTGAGCTGAAAGTCCCAAGTTTTCAAAGTCACAGGAGGATTTCTTTGAGCCTATAGATCACCATGGTAACGGAGACTGAACTCGGTAAGAAGCTCCATCTGTTCACTGATTCTTTTCTTAATAAAATGTGACTGAAACAGCATTTACAGTCATTATAGTCCTACCTGCTACTGTAAGATTTAAAACAAACAGATTGTGAAATTAAACAAAACTGGAACCAATAATCATTGAATCTATTGAATTTTAAACTATGGATTCTTTGGTCTTAAGAAGGTTCAGTCACGTTACAGTAAAAGCAAACTGGATCATTACTCTAACATTTAAACAGCTGCAGGTTCTGTATGACTAATAAAATTATTATTATTATTAATGAATATTAACAAAAATATTTCTGTTTAAACTTTAATAGCGGGTCATTTTACTGGGACATCACCTCCCCACAAAACAAAACAACTTTAAACTCCTGTCCTGGAGTGAAAAATAAGCTGATGTGTCAATGTAGCAGATCTACTGAGGTAAACAGACTAATTAAAGTTATCAAATACAGAAAATATTTGTATGTTCTGTATTTTAAACAGAACATACGAGCAAATCAGAGGCGAGGAGTTTCATTTGACACAAACTGAAGAAAGAATGACAGAAGAGGTGGGATGGAGAAAGAAAAGGAAGATGGTTTATAGGATCAAAAAGGCAGTAGGAGAAATGAGAACTGGAAGAAAGAGCAGAAAGGAAGGATTAATAACAAGACTAAGATTTGGACAAACAACATAATTATACACTTTTTCAAATACAAAAGCATAATAAAGAAAAATGTGACCACTGTAGAGAGGATGAAACATTAGAACATGATGTACTAGAATGTCAGAAATATGAGCAAGAAAGAAGATATATGAGGAGAGAGTTTGAAAAGATAAAAGTTTAACATAACATATACTCTGTAAAAAAAATGTAGGGAGTAAACATACAACAACAAAAAAACAGAATTTGTACGCATCCTTTATGATTGTCTATTGTTGTCTTTGTTGTCCACTGTTGTCATCACTTTGTTAAAATCAGGTCTCTCTTGTAAATTATAAATGAGTCCCTGATGCTCAATGGGATTAAGCTGTATAAATAAAGGTTGAATGAATATACAAATTATAATTCCATTAAAAAAATCGATTAATAGAATTTGATTATATACTTTATACATACACACACTTTAGAAATTAAACCATGATGAACCACACCATCAAGTTTGACAGTCAGGAACAAAACACCTGGAGGAGCTGAACTCAAAGCTAACACAGAATTGTGGTCTAGCAAAAGCATTGGAGCTCGTGGAAACCAAAGATTATAAAGTTAAGATGTCAGTATTGGAGAAGGAACTGGAACGTATACAGGCCGAAAATAATGAACTTTCTTGAAAAGTACAGACATCAAGACCGCTACAAAAGAAGATGGAATCTCAGAATTAAAGGAATGAAAGAGACAATGAATGAAGACACCAGACGTGATGTGATCGAGCTACTGGGGAAGATAGCACCCCCACTGGAAACAAAAAATGGAGGACATTGTGGACACATTGCATGGGATCGGTCCAAAAGAAGAAAACCGAGCGAGATACATAATAGTTCAGTTTACAAGAAGACACCACAGAGATGGATTTTGGAGGCTGACAAAGGAGTCACGAGTTTGCAAAGATGCTGGAATGAGGTTCATGGAGGACCGAGCTAAAGAAGACATGTTGGCAAGGAAGGCACTGAGGCCAAGCATCAATCAAGCACGTCAGGAGAAAAGGTTTACTTCAGAGGGCATTAAGGCTACATTAATGATCATCGCATTAAAAACTGAACTTTTCTTTGTATATTCTGCTGATATGCCTACATGGGATAATGTTACTAGGAGGACTCAACACTGTCAACCTTACTTTTAAATAACCTTTCTTATCTTTTTATTACTATTTTGTCTCCTTTTGTTACTGCAAGTTCTTCCAACAAATTAATATTCTGAAAGCCAGTTTATCATTCTTTAGCTTATCTTTTATTTCTTTGAATACAAGAGGACAATGTGAAAATATATATTTTTCCTGTAAATGTCTAAAGATCACAGTTATTTTTTGTTTGTTTGTTTGTTTGTTTTACAAGAACCCCACTCCTGTGCCTCTGGCACCACCTCCTGGTCATCTCAGTGGGGAGGTAAAATACTCTTTAGTCATGGGAGCAACAGTCTGCAGGAGTGGCCATCTGATCCACTATTTGTAAGACTGAGTTTGCAGTGCCTCAGACTGAAGAAGTCTTTTGGATAAAAGAAGAAACAGTTCAACAAAGAAGAATCCGTCCAGATGACCTGACTTAACCTTAGACGGAGCGTCAGAAGTCACTGATCACGTGACTCAGACCCAGCGAATCGCGCTCCGACTCATCGCTTGGCGTCATTGTTGTTTATGCACCTTAGCTTCAGCTCGGAACGGACCGTCTCTACTTTTATCGATTTATAAACTTTCTGTAACGTTTGCAGTAAATCCAGCTTCTTAACTGTTAAAGGAAACTTTAAATCAACGAAAGCTAACAGATGCGGAGACATCAGGCTAAACAACGTCTGGAAGCAGCAGCGGACTGAACAGGCCCAGATCATGAAGAGGAACGGTCTCGTTTAAAAGAAAAAAAAATGCAACAAAACAAAATCCTGGATGCTGTTTTGAACCCCAGAGTTCTTCCGCACAGATTAGGTTTGTATAAATACATTCTTTTTTTTTTTGGTGTGAGGATGTTAGCTGCAGTTTTTGTAGCTAAAGCTTAGCATCTGTAGAGGACCGTGAGGATCGTGTGCTGCACTTTTACTCTTTTTATCTTTAAAATCCAGCCCAAACCTTGTTTTACTGATTCAGTTCTGACACAAGGAACCGACAGAAGGACGACGTTGTTGGAGAGTAAGACGTAGTGGTTGTCTCATAATTTAAAATTTAATAATAATTTAAAAATAATTTGGCTCATTTAAAATTTAAAACAGCCACATAATTAGTGGCTGTTTCGTAATGTAAAATTATGAAATTCTTTAAAATGAGAAATGAATGCGTGTATCTCGTCTGTCACGTTTAGTAGAGCAGTTTAATTCTATCTAGGAAGAGCAATTGTAATGAAAACCTTTTATGTTATTATGACTTTCTTTCTAATGGCGAATAGTGTATGTAAATTTTTGATCATAACTGTTGCTTGACTAAAGATTATTGAAAGATTTTAAAGTTATTAGAAAATCCCAACATAAATTCTGAATCAGTGCAGGGAGGCTAATGTGATCATATTTCTTGCCTCTTGTTGGAAGTTTGTAGCTCATTTTCTGTCTGTGAGGCTGACTGTTGGTTAATTTAATTATCCTATCATCAAGTCATTACATAATTAAGCCACACAAGGAAACTAGAAGATCTTTATCACTCAGGTTTAATCTTGCAAGAGAAGCAGCAATTGAAAAAGATAAGCATTCAAGATGTTACATGTTGCTACATCTCTAAAGTCTGCTCGTGGACAACATAAAGTGGCTTCAACTTATAACGCTGATCAGAAAAGGCGAGGTCAGGACAACTCTGCTTTCCAGCTTCGAGGCCTTGAAGTTTATCAGGTGTGCAGGCTCCGTGCTCTTGCAGGCTCTACTTTGTTCAGACAAAACAACTCAACTCACATAAATGGTTCTATAACATTTGACATTAGTAAGTGGAAAAACATCCATGACCTTCCCATCCCCCTGACATTTTGTCTGTTTTGAAGATTAGGCTCAAGCTTTTACTTTTTAATAAATCCTATAGTTAGGGTTGGATTGGGTTTCCTGAACTATCCTTTAGATATGTTGCTATAACCTTAGGTTAGAGCACAAATTGACCACATTTCCTCACTCTGCTGCTGTCTTTACTCTGTATTTGGAGTTATTTTGGTCTTAACGTGTTTTTTTTTTTTGTCTTTCCTCCAATAGAAAGTTCACCTGGATCTGCCATTTTGTGTCTGTTTCTCTTTCCCGTCCTCTCAAACCCCAGCAGGTCGAGGCAGATGACCGCTCGTCCTAAGCCTGGTTCTGCTGGAGGTTTCTTCCTGTTAAGAGGGAGTTTTTATTTCCACTGTTGCCTTTGTGCTTGCTCCGAATGGGAGACTGAAGTGAAGATTCAGTGCAATCTGTTGGCTTCCTTAGAAAGATAACTTTACTAATTGGCTTTTTTTAATGTATGTGACAGTGTGTTTCTGTACAGTGCCCTGAGACAACTTCTGTTGTTACTTGGTGCTATCTAAATAAACTGAATAAAGTTCTGTTCAGTCTGGAGCTGGTTTATTATGGAGACAAGTAAAAAGGCTTGTAGAGTAATGAATATTTGTGTAAATACATTCCCCTAATATGATCATATTTTTGCATTTTCTCACAGCTGATAAAAAAAGCTGCAACAAGTTTAGAAGACTCTGCAACATGTTTAATTTGTTCCTTAAAGAACCGACTGAAAGCTCTACATGTTCTACCATCTTCTGGGAGTCAGCCATAAGGACCTCTCTCTTTTATGGATTGAGTTTGACAAGACCTGGGTTTTGGATCAGCACACAACACCAGTCACCAAGAATGGTGTAAACAGTTTATTAGAAAATAGCTGCTGGTGGAGCCTGTTTTTGTGCAGAAAAAGTCACGTGACACGTGACGTCTGAAACACAAACTGTTTCGTTGTCGGAATTAATCGCTTGACTGGTTCACGGTCCAATCAGCTGATTCCCTGGCACCGCCTCGGCTCGATTCTGACAGGTGACAGGTTGAGTTTTGAATTGAAAACACTCAACACTATGAAACGACTCTAAAATATTTGTAATGTGTTGGAGAGTAGGTGTTTTTGCTGTTAGTTGAAATTGAGTAATTATGGAGCCAGCCTGGAAAAGAGGTCGTTCTAACATGTGGGGACACTTCATTCTGCTCATGATAAGGTGGTTTAATACAATTACAGTAAAATGATGTGTGTGATTTTAATTATCATATATCAGTATGGGCTCAAATTAATTATTTTATTTACATTGGTGTATTTCTGCAGGTGCAGTGTTTGGTGTGTTCAACTGAACTGAAGCATCATGATACCTCCTCTATGATGAGACACCATCCATCCATTATCTTTACCCGCTTATTCCATTTTGGGTCACGTGGGTCGCTGGTGCCCATGTCCAGCAATCACTGTGCGAGGGGCGGGGTACACCCTGGACGGGTCGCAAGTCCATCACAGGGCCACATAGAGACAAACAACCATTCACTCTCTCACTCACACCTAGGGACAATTTAGAGTTACCAATCAGCCTAACATGCATGTTTTTGGTCTGTGGGAGGAAACCGGAGTACCCGGAGAAAACCCACGCATGCACGGAGAGAACATGCAAACTCCACCCAGAAAGGTCCCTGGACCAGGGTTTGAACCAAGGACCTGCTCGCTGAGAGGCAGCAGCTCTACCAGTTGCGCCACCGTGCTGCCCCTGACTAGACACTTCAGCGCCAAACATGGAGATGCTGGAGACGTCATTTCATTGTTATTTTTAAGAATGATAAAGACTCGGACTCTGCCAGTTACACAAGCACAATACCATTGCAACATTTTTATTAAATCTCTTCAATGCACATTTATCAATCTTAATTCAAAAACATGTAAGCATAAATACAGTTTCAAACCAGACAACATAGAAAGTTGATGAATTCAAAAAAATCTTTCTTTTTTTTACCACAGTGAAGTAGTTTCTTTGATACTAGTCATTAAAGTTCTTCGGTGTGTGGCACGAAAAGCACAACGCCTAATTTGACAGCAGCATTGCAAAAAGCCACAAGATGTCACTATCTGAAGCTTCAACAAATGAACCTTTTTTTTTATTACATTTGGCCCAAATGGTTCAGTGCATCATAAAAGCTTAATTTGCTAATCACTACAGAAAGGGGCAGGCAAGGTGAGGAGTTTGTGGTACAGGCAGAGAGTCAAAACGAGGCAAGGAAGCAAGACAGGTAATAACACTGGACGTCTACTGGTTTGAGAGTTTGATAGTCTGGCACTGGGTGAGAGAAAGAGCCGAGTTTTAAAAGGGAGCAGAGCAGGTGGAACTAACGAGCGATGACGAGTGGCTGAGCAGAGGAGGCGTGGTGCAGGGAGACGAGCTGAGGAAGGTCGATAGGCGTTACAGGACTGAAAATATTAAAACTAAACTGAAATATAAGGTCAAAAACATGACAGTTTCAGGACATTTTTCTGACGTCCAGCATTAGATGTTGTTTTGAACTGATCAGTGAACTCAGTGATAACACCAGTGATGTTTGTGTGAATATAAAGTTATAACTTTCCTTGTTGTTCATGTGTTTCAGTGTTCCCTGCAGATGTTCAGCAGACGGTGCTGATTAAAGAAGAAGCTCCTGAAGAATGGAGTTCTGGTGTGGACCAGAAGGACCCAGAGACCCTCAACGTAAAGGAGGAAGAGGAGGAACTGAGGACCAGTCTGGATGTAGAGCAGCTCAGTGTGAAGGAGGAGACTGATGACACCAGGTTCTCCTTCACAGCAGTTCATCTGAAGAGTGAGGATGATGAAGAGAAACCTCTGTTCTCTGAGCTTCATCAGCACCAAGTGGAAGATGGAGATCTTCCAACCAGCAGCTCAGCTGACCAGATGAAAGCAGCAACTGGTGGAGAAGATTGTGGAGGATCAGAAATATCAAGGCTTCTGGAAAAATCAGCTGCAGATTATGAAGAGAAACATTCTTATTTAAAGGAAAAGGAGCAACAAAACCAAATCCTTGATGATGATTTCAGTCACAACGTTCATCACTACAAATTAGGTTTGTATATTTGGATCAACTGTGAAGATGTTTTTATCATTTTAGTCACAGTTTTAATGAAACTGACAAACTTAGTCTTTAAGAATAACTTGTATAACCAACATTTGTGTTTGTAGCTTAGCTTGCTGACGGATAAAACAATGACATGGTTACAAGGTGAAAACAGCAAATGTTGGTGCTCTTTGAATATAGGTGCTGGTCATAAAATTAGAATATCATAAAAGTTTATTTATTTAAGTGATTCCATTCAAAAAGTGAAACTTGTATATTATATTCATTTATTACACACTGACTGATATATTTCAAATGTTTATTTCTTTTCATGTTGATGATTATAACTGACAACTAATCAAAACCCCAAATTCAGTATCTCAGAAAATTAGAATATTACTTAAGATCAATTAAAAAAGGATTTTTAGAATGTTGGTCAACTGAAAAGTATGAACATGAAAAGTGTGAACATGTACAGCATCAATACTTGGTTGTTGCTCCTTTTGCCTGGATTACTGCAGCAATGCGGCGTGGCATGGAGTCAATCAGTCTGTGGCGCTGCTCAGGAGTTATGAGAGCCCAGGTTGCTCTGATAGTGGCCTTCAGCTCTTCTGAATTGTTGGATCTGGCGTACCGCATCTTCCTCTTCACAATACCCCATGAAAAATCTATGGGGTTAAGGTCAGGTGAGTGCTGGCCAGTTAAGAGCAGGGATACCATGGTCCTTAAACCAGGTACTGGTAACTTTGGCACTGTGTGCTGTCCTGTTGGAAAATGAAATCTGCATCTCCATAAAGTTGGTCAGCAGCAGGAAGCATGAAGTGCTCTAAAACTTCCTGGTAGACAGCTGTGTTGACCTTGAACCTCAGAAAACACAGTGGACCAACACCAGTTGATGACATGGCACCCCAAACCATCACTGACTGGAAACTTGACACTGGACCTCAAGCAACATTCAATTCAATTCAAATATTATTAATCCCAGAGGGAAATTATTTGTTGTAGTAACTCGTTATCCTCATTTCATTAAGAGATATTATAGATACTGATGGCTGTAAACAGGAAGGATCTCTTGTAAAGGTCTATCCCACAGTGGATCCTAAGAAACTGGCTGCAGATGCCGTCCGATCCGTCCACCCAGACTCAGCGGGCCTCTTGGTTCCCCCGGGCTGTAGGACTGCCTGAATGCTGGGCAGAACTCCTCCCAGAGCAATGGCCACTCCTCCCAGCAGTCTGCTGAGCTCCTCGTCGCTGCAGACAGCCAACTGTAGGTGCCGAGGGACGATCCTGTCCTTCCACTGTCATGAGCCGTGTTTCCTGCTAGTTCCAGGATCTCGGTGATCAGGCACTCGAGCACAGCTGGCAGGTAATGCGTCCACAGAACATCGTTTCAACTCACTTGTAATTTAGGGCTGTAGTTGAGATATTATTTGAGCTTTTCAGATGTTAATCAGCTGCTGTTGGTTGTAGAAAACTGCCTTGTTGCCATGGTTATGCATCATAACAAATGTCCAAAACTAATAAAGTCTCAGTAAAAATCCTTCCAGCTGCACAGCATCCGATACCAGAGGAAACAATCATCCAAAAAATGTGATTTACATCCAGAAAAAGAGGAATTAAAGTTTCCAAAAGCAAAATCTCAGAATGAAAGTAGCAGAGCTGCTCCAACATGCAGCCACTTTGAGTGGCGCAGTTCTAGAGAACATGGATTCTGTGCCTCTCCTCTCTTCCTCCAGACTCTGGGACCTTGATTTCTAAAGGCAATGCAAAATGTACTTTCGTCAGAGAACATAATTTTGGACCACTCAGCAACAGTCCAGTCCTTTTGACTTTACCCAGGCGAGACGCTTCTGATGCTGTCTCTTGTTCAAGTGTCTTGACACAAGGAATGCGACAGCTGAAACCCATGTCTTGCATACATCTGTGCATCGTGGTTCTTGAAGCACTGACTCCAGCTGCAGTCCACTCTTTAAAATGCAAAGGGTAACAGGCGTGTTTTGTCCCTCAGAGCTGCTCTAAAGCTGCTTCAGGTATGATTTTCAAGAAAGAAGATGTGGCTTGGATTATTTACCATAACTCTGGTTTGGCTTGGCCAATCAACACAATTTAAAAACTGGTGTGTAGCTTAAAGTCTCAACTTTTGATACAAATTAAAATGGAATTTCTAAGATTTTGCGTCATTCCGGATACAGTAACTGAAATCGGTCATATGCCTGTCACACGCCGGGGGTCGATTCGCTCCAAATGAGGAAAGTCAGTCAGTCAGAGTAGAAGCAGAAATGTCCACCTGTTATGGAGAAGGCAGAGTGACACTTGTTTTTAATTGCACTCTCCAGTAAAACTGTGTTTTGTCTCGATGTGAGGAACTCCATGGTGCATTTGTGAACTAGGGGTGTAACAATACATCCATTTAAATCGATATATCGATTAAATGATTAATGATTTGATTATATCGTGGCAAAACGAAAATATCGATTCACATCGTCATCTTTAAAATTCGCTTTTATTTTGAAATTCCCGAGGCACGTCTGTGTCACCATTTCCGTGCGCGGCTGCGCTCTGCGGCCGCCTCAGCAACATGGCAGACAAGGCAAAAAACACAGATAATGAAATCCACTCTCCTGTTGGATTTAAATCAACACTGTGGAAATATTTTGGATTCCAACAGAAGGACGGCTCAACAGACAAAACTCATGTCGTATGCAACAGGTGCCAGTGTGAGTTCAAATACTTGGGAAACAACAAATTTGGCCGTTCACCTGAAGAACAAACACGGCATTGATAGCCATGTTATGTAAGTTCAATATCTATTTTTGTTTCTGAGAAATGTGAAACTATACTGAACAGGTCATTTATTTTTTATTTTTTCATTAATTAAGATATTTTTTTAAATTTTATTTAAATGCCTGGTGCCTGTAATAACAGAAACAAAATGGTTAAATCATATTTGAATTATTTTTGTAAATTTATTTATATGTAAATGAGACGGGCATTTGATATTGCAGTATATTGATCACAGACTTGTGAATCGAATCGTATCGTGACAGACTTGGTGATGTCGAGAAAAATTGTATCATCATACAAACAAATCAATATAATATTGTATCGTGGTAAAGCTGGTGATTTACACCCCTATTGTGAACCAAACTCTGATGCTCCCAACAGAACCAGACCTTCAGCTATCCACCGGCTTACTTTTCTACAACCCGCCTTCCTGTTAGTAATTGGTCATGGCAACGCGAGCTTCAATGTAATTGGATGTAATCCTTGTTGAGGTGGACCCTGTCTTGCTCTCAAGCTGGAAAGCCGGCCCTCGGCCAGAGCGCTTTAAGCCCTGTGTGTTCATGGACGCTGAGGACAAGTTAAGGAGGAAAACGAAATCTAACAGTATTAATGCACATTAAAATAATTGTCTGTTAACCATTTGCTGCGTTAACGTGACAATAACGAGTTAACATGCACACCACTAAAAACCAAAAACATTAGAGAACATTTTATATGGGGGGGGGGGGATTTGTTTGTAACCTCTAGGTGTAAAACAACATTTTCAGTCAATAGATTTTATTTGCTTTAATCCCTGGTAGTGCTTTGTAATGACAGTAACCTAAATTTCTGCGACCATGGTCATCTACTACTCTCAAACAGGTCCTCCAACATGAACAACTCTGACCTTCAGCTCAACAAAGCTGCTAAGCAGGAAATTTCGTACAAACCGGATTCCAAAAAAGTTGGGACACTAAACAAATTGTGAAAAACCGAATGCAATGATGTGGAGATGGCAAATGTCAAGATTTTATTCGTAATATAACATAGATGACAGATCAAAAGTTTAATCTGAGTAAATGTAACATTTTAAAGGAAAAATGTGTTGATTCAAAATTTCACAGTGTCAACAAATCCCAAAAAAGTTGGGACAAGTAGTAATAAGTGGCTGGAAAAAGGAAATTGAGCATATAACAAACAGCTGGAAGACCAATTAACACTAATTAGGTCAATTGACAACATGATTGGGTATAAAAAGAGCTTCTCAGAGTGTCAGTGTCTCTCAGAAGCCAAGATGGTAAGAGGATCACCAATTCCACCATTGTTGCGCAGAAAGATAGTGCAGCAATACCAGAATGGTGTTACCCAGCGTAAAATAGCAAAGACTTTTAAGTTATCATCATCAACCGTGCATAACATCATCAAAAGATTCAGAGAATCTAGAACAATCGCTGTGCGTAAGGGTCAAGGCCGTAAAACTCTACTGGATGCTCATGATCTCCGGGCCCTTAAACGTCACTGCACCTCAAACAGGAATGCCACTGTCAAGGAAATAACAGAATGGGCTCAGGAATACTTCCAGAAAGCATTGTCAGTGAACACAATCCACCGTGCCATCCGCCGTTGCCAGCTGAAACTACAGTGCAAAGAGGAAGCCATTTCTAAGCAAGCCCCACAAGCTCAGACGTTTGCACTGGGCCAGGGGTCATTTAAAATGGAGTGTGGCAAAATGGAAGACTGTTCTGTGGTCAGATGAGTCACGATTTGAAGTTCTTTATGGAACACTGGGACGCCATGTCATCCGGACCAGAGAGGACAAGGATAGCCCACGTTGTTATCAACGCTCCGTTCAGAAGCCTGCATCACTGATGGTATGGGGTTGCATGAGCGCTTGTGGCATGGGCAGCTTGCATGTCTGGAAAGGCACCATTAATGCAGAGAACTATGTTCAGGTTCTAGAACAACATATGCTCCCATCTAGACGTCATCTCTTTCAGGGAAGACCCTGCATTTTTCAACACGATAATGCCAGACCACATTCTGCAGCAATCACAACATCATGGCTACGTAGGAGAAGGATCCGGGTACTGAAATGGCCAGCCTGCAGTCCAGATCTTTCACCTATAGAGAACATTTGGCGCATCATAAAGAGGAAGGTGCGACAAAGAAGGCCCAAGACGATTGAACAGTTAGAGGCCTGTATTAGACATGAATGGGAGAGCATTCCTATTTCTAAACTGGAGAATCTGGTCTCCTCTGTCCCCAGACGTCTGTTGAGTGTTGTAAGAAGAAGGGAGGATGCCACACAGTGGTAAAAATGGACTTGTCCCAACTTTTTTGGGATTTGTTGATGCCATGAAATTTGGAAACAACAGATTTTTCCCTTAAAATGATACATTCTCTCAGTTTAAACTTTTGATCTGTGATTTTTGTTCTATTCTGAATAAAATATTAGATGTTGGCACCTCCACATCAATGAATGCTGAAGCTCAGAGGAGATCGGGCGTTTTCTGCCATGGGCCCTAAACTCTGGAACAATCTGCCCATCAACATTTGACAGGCCACTTCAGTCTGCTTTTAAATAGGGATGCACCAATCCACTTTTTTTTTTACTTCCAATCCGATCCCGATACCTAAATCTAAATATCGGCCGATATCGATCCAGTTCCAAAATCATCATCATCATTGATTTTATATGAGGCCGTAATAATCTCCTCTCAAGTACAATTTGTACAAATATATGCATGCATGTCCAAAAAGGCAACTTGAGTTAAGTTTTATTATTGTTGGATAAGTTTTAAAGTTAGAATTAAATTCTGCTAACACAAAGCATGTTTTTTTTTCTAGCTTTAAAGTGGATATTAAAGTGATTAATTTAAGTGATTGTTTAAAGTTATTTTATATTTTTTTAAATAAGGGGCAGATATAAGAATTTTTTTTCTTTGTTCAGCACTCTTTTCTTTCAATGTTTTCTTTTTGAAGATTTTTTTAAAATCTTGTTTCTTTTAAATGAATGAATAAATGAATTAAAATGAATTAAAATAAAATAAAATGTTAAATGGCTTCAAACACCTGCTAAGTTCGTGGCATAAACCAACAGACATGTTCCTGTTTTTAGTATTTTACATCACTTTATAATGTAGCTGTTTTTGTTTCGGTTTAAAAAATATATATATATAATTTTCAAATCATATGATTTTTATGATTGTCTACTGTTGTACTGATAAATATCTTCTGGAGGGTAAACTATATCTTGGTTGCAAGTATCAAGCTATGAAATCCTTTGTTTTCTACAGCTGATAGCGGTTGGTCATTAATTATGAAGTTTAGCAAATTCTCAGTAAACAGTCGAGCTCTGTGGCTTCAGCGATGTATTCTTCTTGTTCAATCCGAAGCAGGCAGCCTGATTTTGGTCAGCCGCGCTCAGTCTGTCCCTCCTCAGAGACGGGCAGATTGAGCGGGGCAGATTGGACGCGGCTGGCCGGGGTCGAGTTGCATGTTTTTGGTTGAGCAAAGAGTAGCGCTGAAGCCACGGAGCTCGAATGTCCAACGTAAAACTAACTTTACCACGGTTTAATGTGGCGCTATGGCTCTGCAGACATTACACGTTGCTGTCTTGTTTTGTGGTGTTTCTAGTGTAAAATACTTTCACACAGCGGACATGTTTAGATGAAAAGTTTGTTAGCTGTTAGCCACTGTGCTGCTAACTCTGTCCTCACATTGTAGCTGGTTGCAAACTAGGAAATGGATTTCCTGAATGTGAGGCGGGTCTTATTACTTTAAGTTCATGAGACACGCCTCCGTTCAGGAAATCCATTCTATAGTTTGCAGCCAACATGCATCATGGATCGGAAATATCGGCAAGTTGGATCAGAAAAATCTGATACGTAAATTGCAGCCTCCATGCGCTTCCATCTATCCTTGTTAGACGCCTGCACTGAAATGTATTTCGCTGTGCTTAACTGTGCCATGACAATAAAGTTGATTCTGATTCTGATTAAACATCTGATCAGAACTGTGTGTGTGTGCGGTGAATCCAGAGTTATACTTTCACTGTTAGTTAGTCACCAAGTTTTAGTTGTTTGCATGCCATAAACCTGCTGGTGGTTATTTCACATGAAATATGGCTGGTCTTTACCTTGACACATCTTCTCTATTTGTTTTACCATCTTCTGATAGCCAGTCAGGATGTTAGTCTCACTGAATTCATTTCAGGAGGTTTTTCTGATGTCCAGCATTAGATGATGTTTTGAATTGGTCAGCAAACTCAACAAGTGATGTTTGTGTGAATATAAAGTCCTTACTATTTGTGTTTCAGTGTTCCCCGCAGATGTTCAGCAGATGATGCTGATTGTAGAAGAAGCGTCTGAAGAATGGAGGTCTGATGTGGACCAGAAGAACCCACAGCCCCTCCATATGAAGCTTCATCAGCACCAAGTGGAACATGAAGATCTTCCAAACAGCAGCTTTGCTTACCAGATGAATGTAACAACTGGTGGAGAGGACTGTGGAGGAGCAGGATCTACCAGGAACCCAGATCTAAATACTCACAAAGATGATTCCAGCTGTTCAGAGACTGAAGACAGTGAAGATGATGATGAAGATTTAAATGATCCTGACTCTCAGATTAAAGACTCATCAGACTCTGGATCAGACCCTGAAGACTGCTGCAAAGACTGGATGGATAGCATGGCTTCTGAGTCAGGTGTAAACACTGTTAACAAATCTTGCAGCTTTTCTCAATGTAAGAAACAATTTCTCCACAAAGCATCTGTTCAGAGAAACAAGGCAGGTCATTCAAGGATAAAATCCTCAAGTTGTTTGGTTAGTAAGAAATGTTTTAGAGGAAAGAAACCTGGAGGCTCAAGCAAAAAAATCCAGGCAAGACAAAAATTGTTTGGTTGTGATGACTATGGAAAAAGATTTAACAGAAAAGAACATCTAAAAAGATACATGCAAATCCACACAGGACAGAAGCCATTTTCTTGTGATGTTTGTGGACAAAGGTTTGGACGAAAGTCAACTTTAAACATACACATGAAAATCCACACAGGACAAAAACCATTTGCTTGTGATGTTTGTGGACAAAGGTATGGACGGAAGTCAACTTTAACCAATCACATGAGAATCCACACAGGACAGAAACCATTTACTTGCGATGTTTGTGGACACAACTTTAGAGAAAAGTCTACTTTAACCAATCACATGAGAATCCACACAGGACAGAAACCATTTACTTGTGATGTTTGTGGACGCAACTTTAGAGGAAAGTCAACTTTAAACAATCACATGATAATCCACACAGGACAGAAGTCATTTGCTTGTGATGTTTGTGAACACAAGTTTAGAAACAAGTCAACTTTAAACAATCACATGAGAATCCACACAGGACAGAAACCATTTGCTTGTGATGTTTG